GTTTAGAGTGTATCCTCTGAGTTCTCTGATTTATTGAACTTCTTATGCTACTTCATGGTGAAAAGTTTGCGCAAGGGCCTTATTTAGTAACTTTGTTTATTTCAGGCAGTATTTGGCAGTTGTATTCAAAGATAAACCCCTGGAGTTATGGGATGTTAGGACTTGTACCCTCCTTAGAGAAATGTCCAAAAACTTCCCTGCAATAACTGCTTTGGTAAGTTATAATTTAAGAATGGAATCGTTTATTTAGGTATGTATATAATGTGGTAAATGTTTTTCTTTTGTTTGAAATGAAATCATTAATGCCATGTATTTTCTTGTTAAAAACAAAATGATGTAAATAAATGAAGATAAATCTTATTTTCTTGGATGAGCCAACCTAATATTACATTTGTGCAATTCCAATCAAAATTTCATTTGGGTTTTTTGAGGAACATGAAAAATGTGTTTTAAAATGCTTATGAAAGAATAAAGTCCGAATAGCTAAGACAACCTTAAAAAAGGGGAGTAAATGTAAGAGGTGAGGCTGGGTCCCATCTGCCAGATATTAATACATATTACAGAACCATAGTAATAAAAACAGTATCATATTGGTGCAAAAACAGAAATGGATCAACATAATAAAGAGCTCAGAACCAGACCCATGAGTATTTGGGAATATAATATACGATAAAGTAACACACAACTCCATGGGGAGAGAATGGATTATTTACTAGACAGTACTGGGAAAACTGCCTCACTCTATGGAGAAAATACTGGATGCTTATCTAATATCACCTGCAAAGGAGGCCGCCACGAAGATTAAAGAACTAAGTGTGAAAATGTAAAACTATAAAATTAGTAGAAGAAAATATAGAAGAATATTTTTGCGACCTGGCAGGAGAGGACATCAGAAACTCAAACCAGAAAGGGGAAAAAAAAATGAATTTGATCACATCAAGGTTAATGCCTTCTATTCAATGGAAGACACCATTGTCAAAGTTAGATACAGAAGACAGGTTGGAAGAAGAAATTTTCCAATGTCTGACACTACCAAGGGAAGAGATCTCCTACAAATGAGTGATGAAAAGATAGGAACCCCACTGGGAATGTAGGGGAAGTATGAGAAGAGGTAATGAATGGCAGGGAAACCAGAAAGGCATAAGCATTTGAAGAAATGTTCAACCTCACAAGTTTTTAGAAGTGTGTAAAGTGAAATAACCATGATATACCTTTTAGATTAGACTAGCAAAATTGGAAAGTGAGCGAGCGTCAGGTGCGGGGTTTAGGAGTCCTTGGACACTGCTGGGAAGAATGAAGACCAGTGCAGCCATTCTGGGGAGCAAACTGGCGGTACTTTGGCAAACAAGACTTATTCTGTGCTCCAGCTGTCCAGCTCCTGCTCGTAAAGGACCTTTTACGAGGATATGACAGCAGTATTATCTGTCACAATGGGAGTTCAGAGGCAGTCTGGGTGTCTTCTGCTTAGAGAACAGACAGATGCACCCATGGAGTGTTATGCAGCATTCCAGAACATCAGGGATGGGACTTAAGTACATCATATTGAGTGGAAAGTGTAAGACACAGAATAAGATGCATAACACAGCACCATTTATGTAAATTACAAATACATGCAGTTGCAGTAACTTCACATTAAGAAAGAACATACACATACGAGAAGACATGGGATTAAATGTATTACAGTTACTGCTAATATAAGGGAATAAATAATAAAGCAAGAGAGGTTTTTGTGGACCTATCCATGATAATGAGCCATGATTTAAGGGGCATGATTGTCTCAACCTGTGCACCTAAGGGGAGGCGGGGAAGGAGAGGCTTGTCTTGGTGGGAATAGGAGACAGCATAATTGAGTTTATGGTTTCATTTTGTGAATAAGAAAGCATCAAAAGTTAGACCTTCCAGAAGTTTCCCATTAAACTTTTATATTATTCAAATCGGCTACCTCAAGCTCTAATTAAAATACCTGTCTATAAATAGGTAAAGCCTAAAGGAGAATTTGTGACTTCCTGTGTAGTAGTACTGAGTAATACTGGGCATAGCTTTTCTGGCAGGATGCTTTGGCAGAAGGAAACCTAGCACTTTCCTTGGTCTGTCTTGTGCACAGGAGTGGTCACCCTCTCACAACTTAAAGAGCCTGAGGAAGAAGCAGCTGGCTACCCGAGAGGCCATGGCCCGCCAGACCGTGGTCTCCGATGCAGAGCTGAGTGTCGCCGAGTCATCTGTGATCAGGTACAGGGCGCTGTTTCCTGCCACTGTCATTTGTAATGTCATTATCATTGCTGGGGGCTTGACAAGTGCCATCCATTTTAAACATACTTTGTTTTGTATTTTACTATATACCCAGATTACTGAAAAGTTACTTTTATTATTGGATTTCTTTCTGCAGTCAGTAATATATGCAGTAATATCCACATATCAGTGTTCATCAGTGAATACAATTATCCTCAGTGCACTTCTGTTCCATAAGCTTCAAATAACGTAAACACACAGATAGACCATATTACCATTTGTGGACACCAAAGAAAATGGAAATTCTAAATTTAAGTCCCATCCCCTTCCTCACCAGTTTTACAAATAAAAAGCCTCAAAGGTGATGATGGACAGATGTAAGGCACCTCTTCTGCTGGTGAGTGTTCTGCAGCAGAAACAGAGCTAAGAGGGGTCTTTCCTTGCGTTAAGTGCAGATCACCATGGCCCTCTGTAGGGGTAAACTTTCTTTTGTTGTATGATTATTTGAGAGTGGTTTGTATTTTCCTATTATTATTTGGGCAAAGATTAGTTTCAGACTTTTTTTTAATGCTTTTGGACCACCTAGTAATGCATCTATATTTTGGGTGAGCTAATGAATTATAGGCGTCATTTTAAAGAAAGAAATACCTTTATCTTATTTTTCTCTGTCCCAAAGCTTGCTGCAGGAAGCAGAAAGTAAGTCTGAACTCAGTCAGAACATCTCTGCCCGGGAGCATTTTGTGTTTACTGATAATGACGGCCAGGTTTATCATCTCACTGTTGAAGGCAACTCGGTGAAAGATAGCGCACGGATTCCACCAGATGTGAGTGCAACCTTTGATTAAATCTTAATCAAGAATTCTTACCAAAGATTTTGTTGGTTCCATATCTAGTGAAGCCACAGTTTAGTTGGGAAGCTCTTTTGGAAAACTTTAATGTTACAAGCTTTACTATTTGAGAGAGGTTATCAATGATTAAATGTATACCATACTGCTGGAGAATAGCATTATAACTATTTTGATTAAATACTTACCGTTTGCCTCTCATTTTTATCCCCACGATAATACTTGAGGAATTATCCCCATTTTATCTCTTATGAAACTGAGGGAGAATAAGTAATTTCCCAAGGTCACCCACCTTAGTGGGATGGCAGAGAAGTGTTTTAAACTCAGGTCTTTCTGTCTGACTCTGTTATCTGTCTTCTTTCCATTTCAAGCTATATCCTGAAGGATTTGACTGACAATCTAGTTTTATTTTGGATAATAATAATCAGGTTGTAAGTGTAATAATATTTACTAACTTCTGTATATCTTTTTCATGGCCTTGCAGAGTCCTTTAACTAAGGGTTCTGGGTTAATAGTTTGTATCAGCATGCATCTCACTAGCTGTTTTGATTAACAGTTTTTATTAACTAATGCAGATTACTGTGATGGTTAAATGTAGGCATGACATGGTTTAAAAAAAGAAAAAATATATATATATATTTAAAATTGTTGTCTAAAAATGGAACGTTTTAGTAGAATGCCAGCCCCTGTATTTTATAGGTGACTTGGGGTCTCATGAGGTCATAGTCAAAACGCCAACTGGAGCTGCAGACATTTGAAGTTAAATGGGCCAGGAGGATCCACTTCTAAGATGGCTCTATCACATGGCTGACAGATTAATGCCAGCTGTTGGTGAGAGGCCTCAGGTCTTCTACATCTGGACACCTCCATACAGCTGCTTTTATGTCCTCCCAACATGGCATCTGGATTCCCTCAAAGCCAGTGATCCAACAGAGAGCAGGAAGGAAGTGGCAATGTCTTTTAAGGCCTAGTTTTCACATTATCCGATTGGATGAGCCCTCTTCACTGTGGGAAATGACTGCAAGGGGCATGAGCACCAAAAGGCAGAATCAGTGGGAGCCTCTTAGAGGCTAGCTTCCACGTCTTGCTTATTAACAGCTATAGAAGAATTAAAAGCATTTCCCCAAACAGCCTTCACCACTTGTAAAAGTAGAAGCTAAAATGTGAAAGTGTTTATCAACTGTAACAGACGATGGACTTTCATTTTTCTTACTACATAGAGCAAGTTAGATATGAGACTTGGTAGGTCTGAATCTATAGTCTATTTTAAGATAGCTCTAATATTGCCAAAAATTGCCAGTAGTTTGAAAGGATGAAAATGACAATGTAAATGTGAAAGTGATGTTTCATAGATGGTCGTAATAGAAAAAGTAACCTAACTTTTAGCGTGTAGGAAGGGTATAGACTTAGGAGTGCCAGTGTGCAGTGGCTGTCCTTTGGAAAATCAGTTTGCTGCTCCTTTAGAACCCGGAGGGGCCCCATCTGAGCTCTTCAAGTGCCACTCTCAGACAGCTCAGTCCCTGTGTTTTCTGATCACTTCACATTTGAGATTAGAGTGTAGAAACAGTCCAACAGAGTTCACATTCTAATTTTTGAGATACCAGTTTAAAAAAAAAAGTTTAAAATTTATAGACATCAGGCACATGAGTTTTTCTTTATTGCTTCAGGATAATTGCACCCCACAGCTTTTAAGGTCCCATTTCTATTTGTGGAGGCCTGAAGTCAGATACAGCAAGTCTATGTTCTGCCTGACAAAAAAAACCAAAAACCCACTGCCAGTGAGTCGATTCTGACTCATAGCAACCCTATAGGGTTTCCAAGGCTGTAAATCTTGATGGAAGCAGACCGCTACATCTTTTTCCCACAGAGATGCTGGTGGGTTTGAACCGCTGACCTTTTGGTTAGCATCCGGCCGATTTAACCACTGTGCCACCAGAGCTCCTGTTCTGCCAGCCAGCCCCCTTTAGTTCACAGCCAGGAGCCACTTTCTCCAGGAATGACCAGCTTAGTAAGGATCCAGCCTCCAGTGCATTTGGTACAAACTTTAGATCATACTATTTTTGGGGAAAAGGAATTGAGCGTCTATTACATAATACATGGGAAATCGATTTGCTTAATTATTTTTGTTTTCTGGAATTAATATGTTTTTCAGTGACTCTAATGTAGAATTCAGCTAGTGTTTTTTTTTTTGTTTTAATCCAATAATTTATCTTACCCCCACACTTTCAAATGTGAAGTATTAAGCATTCGTTTTGAGTTGGAACTTTTCCTCTTCATTTCAGGCCCAGATCAGTAGAGCGAATAGAAATGGTAAAAATGAAGGGGGAAACTTGGCGTCTTTTGCATTGTGTACACTTGAGGAGTGACCGCCTTTACTTAGACTAACTAGATGAATGAGAGAGAATGGATAGTCCTGCTGCTGCCAGCCTTCCTTCTGACCTTTAGTCATCATATTTTACATGGAGGCAACATGTCAGTGTCAAGTAATAATACTCCACTGAGGTGTGTTTTGCATTTGTTCTCCCCTCAGGATTATTTAGAGCTGTAGAGCAGATTTGTTTGTGCCACATCCTCTAAAAGCACACTGGTATCTCCATGTGCTTTGTATCCCATCAATAAATGCTTAAGTAGGAAGGTCTGGCCTACCTTTTCTGTTGTATTAATACATCACATTGTAATTCTAAGCTGGTAACACTGTGGTTTCTTGGATAACTTAAGTTTTAATGCTCTAACTTTTAGAAGTTAGAAAGTAATATTATAAAAGTTCTCACGACTAAAAAGTAAATTTAAAGACAAATTCTTTTTTTTTTTTTAATTGTACTTTAGATGAAGGTTTACAGAACAAATAGTTTCTCATTAAACAGTTAGTACACATATTGCCCTATGACAATGGTTAACAACCCCACGACATGTCAACACTCTCCCCTTCTCAACCTTGGGTTCCCTATTACCAGCTTTTCTGTCCCCTCCTGCCTTCTAGTCTTTGTCCCTGGACTGTTGTGCCCCATTAGTCTTGTTTTGTTTTACGGTGCTGTCTAATCTTTGGCTGAACAGTGAACCTTGGGAGTGACTTCATTACTGAGCTAAAAGGTTGTCCAGGGGCCCTACTCTTGGGGTTTCTCCAGTCTCTGTCAAGCCAGTAAGTCTGGTCTTTTTTTGTGAGTTAGAGTTTTGTTCTACATTTGTCTTCAGCTCTGTCCGGGATCCTCTGTTGTGATCCTGGTCGGAGCAGTCAGTGGCGGTAGCCAGGCACCATCTAGTTGTACTGGACTCAGTCTGGTGGAGGCCCTGGTAGTTCTGGTCCATTAGTCCTTTGGACTAATTAAAGACAAATTCTTAATTAAACATTCTGGTGGTATGGTCAGGAAAGAAAGTAAGATTGTTTTGAAGTGTTGCTTCATATTACCCAGAATTCCATTTATTTTTTATAACTCCTAGGTTTTTTTTTATTATTGAATTCATTATAATAGTATTGATATTCAATTCAGTTTTTCTTTTGTTTCCTGACTGCCACTAGGCCCTGGTGGCACAGTGGTTAAGAGTTCAGCTGCCAACCAAAAGGTCGACAGTTTGAACCCACCAGCTGCTCTTTGGAAACCCTATGGAGTAGTTCTGCTCTCCTCTAGGGTCTCTGTGAGTCGGAATCGACTCGACATCCGCGGGTTTGGTTTTTTAGTTGTTGTTGCCGGGCTGTTACTGTTCAGTTTGGCAAACCATTAGAGCTGTCCTACTCCTTCCTGTGGATACATGGAAGACACAATATATAAGCATCGTGAGAACAAAGCACGTGAGTTTTTATATTGTACTGTAAATAAGTGCAAAAACAGGATTTCTCTGAAAAAGTAGAGAAATAATTGAACAGTAAAGTTATGTAATAGCTGCCATGTATGGACTGTTTACAGTGTGGCAGGCATTGCTTTAAGCCTTTACCTGTATAAATGTAATAACACCGCTGGTAACTCCTCAAGTTTCAAGCTGTTACCCTGTTGATGGTAAATCCAAGGCTCGGAAAGGTGACATAAACTTGCCCAACTCAGTGGTAGAGCTCAGATGAAAGCCCGGGCAGCCTGAGTCCAGAGCCTGGCTCCTCAGGTCTGAGGTGCACCACGCTGTGCGTTTGTCAGAGCTGCCCGCTCCTCTCTTCCCCTCTGTTAGACTGACTGCCGGCACGGGTTTTCTTGTGCTTATTTTTCTATATGTAACTTCTTTGCAGAGCTTTCTCTGAACTCATTGTGCAGATGCCTTTAATCAGCAGTATCTGTTCACCTTCATTATTCCTTAAGGTTCCAGAAGGTACTGATGAAGCTCTGGATCCTTTTATCAATAGAAAAATTGCTGTACAGTTAGTTCTGAAACAGCTTTGATTTCCCTTGGAATGGCTTTATCGTTTTTCGGTGCTACGTAAGTTAGAGACAAGATGGAGAAGTTAAAAGACAAGACCCTTCTCTGGAAGGGTTTCCTTTCCTTTTCTTTTTTTTCTTCTTTTATTCTATTTTTTCATGTAAGGTACTTCTTCCTCAAAAGATGCTTCTTCTGTCTAAATCTGTCTCAAATCACTTAAACCGTCTGTCAAGTTGAATTCTCCTGTTTCTTCCTCATTTAAATTGATGTGCTGTGTTGTAGCTCTTTTAGTGTTGAGGTCTATGAGAGTTTGATGGCATTCACACTAAAACAAAACCCTTTGTAATTAAATTTCACCCAGATATCGTTATTACTTCATATGGCCATTAAGTAAAAATATTTCTGTTATGATGGTTTGTATGTAGTGAATCTTGTATTTGTTGTTGTTTTCTAGGGAAGTATGGGCAGTATTACTTGCATCGCTTGGAAAGGTGATACATTAGTTCTTGGCGATATGGATGGAAATTTAAATTTTTGGGATTTGAAAGGCAGAGTATCCAGGTATGAGCCACGAGTGGAATTTTTTATTTGATTAAGAAAAAAAAAAAGTAACCTTTTGATTTGTATAAATACGCTTCCATTGGAGGCTGTGACTTGGCAAACAGGATTGGTAGACATGGCCAAGTGTAGTTTGGCCCCTCGAATCACTGGTCACCTGAACTTGGAAGGAAGGACCTTGAGGCAAGCCCTGGGTCAGTCATGGAAGACTGATCTGCAGGTGGTCCATGTAGAGAGCGGGGACACAATTCCTGCATTATTAAAGGACAGATCTTTCTGTCAGATGTCCCTATCTCAGAAAGTAAAATGATTCTCTCACCACCAGGCCTTGTCAGAAATGGAAGTAGGATGAGACTTGGTATGCTGTTTCCACTGACTATCACACCGAGCATCTTACTGGTGTTTTGGTTTGCGATTTTGTTTGTCCTCAGAGGGATACCTACACACCGAAGTTGGGTGAGGAAGATTCGCTTTGCCCCTGGTAAAGGAAACCAAAAACTAATAGCAATGTACAATGATGGAGCTGAAGTATGGGACACCAAAGAGGTAGGCCTGCCCCTAGAGAATGAAATGTAAATGAGCTGCTGCTCACCTGGGCTGTGGGTTTAAAATCCTCCTGATTTAGAAATGAAAACTCTGTAATGCGTTTGCCAAGTTATTATGACAAATTAGTTTCTTCTTTTTAAAAGATTTTACAATATTTCTGTTCTAAAGATGACAGCACAACAGATTGTTTATGTTACCACTGTCTTTGGGACATTTAAAATGTGTCTGCATGTGGGAGATGGATGGCCAAAGGCTGCGCAGTTATAAACTTGCAGTGGGCCTTTGCCACGGGTGCGGTCTCCTTGACTGTTTGATTCAGAATAATAAACAACTTCTTTTTGCTTTGAAAGTGACAACCAAATTTACTCTTGAAGGTTCAGATGGTGAGCAGTTTAAGAAGTGGAAGAAATGTGACCTTTCAGATATTGGATGTGGACTGGTGTACATCAGATAAAGTGATCTTGGCGTCGGATGATGGATGCATCAGAGTCCTGGAGATGTCGATGAAGTCCACATGTTTTAGGATGGATGAACAAGAGTTAACCGGTATGGAATCCTAATGAGAAGGTGCTTTGACGCTTGTCTTTACTTTCCCACAGGCTGCGGTCTTCAGGGGAGAGAGCTGCTTCTGTTTCATTTCAGTCTCATTTTCTAAGAATCTGAGGTTAAGAAAATATGTTAGCTTCAGTCTTGAGTGTTTCTGTCACTGGGATGCTGTCCTCCCTGTGACTGCAGATGTCAGTCATCCCCCGGCTCAGGTTTTGTAAGTGCCGTTTCTTTACCCTCTTCTGAGTGGTTTGTCCACAAGAGAAAAGATGGTTTACTCAGAACACAGCACTCATCAGAGGCCACGAAGCTAGTGATGAGGGGCTGGTTGTTTCGTGGTGATCTGTGTACCTTTTGTGGCTGTCGGTCTTTGAAAAGGCACTGTGGAAAGTGTCCCGAGTATCAAGGGTTTTGAAGCCTATTTTCTGGCTTGTTAAATGGCCAGTCAAAGCAAAATTAGATGATTCTAGTATCTTGCCTCTTTTTGTATGGTTGTTTGAGATTTATTTTACCAAAACAAAAAATTCTTTAGTAAAAAGGACCTCCTATGTGACTTTAAAAAGAAGAATGGAAGGATTGTGAATGTATCCATCCATCAGTCAGCTTGAAAGGCAGGTTTGTCTGATGAAATGCAGTGTTCATCGTTGGAAGATGCTCCTGGAAGGAGGGAGACAGACGTCCAAACTGGAGCCGAGCAAGGAGCGTCCTGCAGTAAGTGTTGCTCCAGGCATACCTGTGGTGTGCTTTCAAGGCTGTCTGATCTGGAAGAATTTTCATAAGACATTCGTACACTCATTTACTGAGCATCAGCATAAACTCTCAGAATGGTCTGGGAACAATTCTAGAAAGTGCTTGTGTCCTTGCAGAGAGTATATGGTGCCTCCAGAGACAGGAAGGGTTTGAAAACCTGCCCCCTCACTTGGTGTCCGTGCTTCAGGCACTACCAAGCTTCTGCTAATGTTGGCTGGGCCGCCTTTAACTTTTGTCTTTGCCGCCAGCTCCACCCCTGCTACTATACCCACCGCTTCTTAACTCCATAGCTGTGATTGCCATCGAGGGAAGCCAGCAGTTGAGCTGTGTATTCCCATATCTGTCCCTGGTCACTGGCTGCTCTGCAGAGGGATCAGGACCTGCTCCCAGAGAAGGGTGGGCATTGATAGGAACTTTCAACCTGAAGTTATTAAGGAAAAGAGTCTTTTTTTTTTTTTTTTAAATTTAATTACTAGTTCTAAGTAAAGATGTGTGCAAATATAATCTAAATGTTTGAAAAGGTTTTCTTTTGCCTTTAATTTAAAGTTTGAATCTAAAAAGCTCCAAAGCCAAGGTAGCTTGTTCTTAAATTAAACTGACTATAGAATTGGAGCCCATCATATTAAACCACACTTAACGCTATACTTGAACAGCTGGCCTACAGCCAGATTTTAGATTGCACTTTTAAAGTTTTTCTAATTAAAAAAAAATCTTTTCTACCCAAGTTTTCTTTGTAAGTCTTTACTGGTGCCGTCTTAGCCAGAAAAGGAAAAATTTAAAAATAATAATGGGGAAAGGTCAAGAAAATTGTGCATACATTTCCCAAATTGAACTTTAACTCAGAACGACACTCAGTAAATGTTAAAGACTGAAAGCTCGTGGTGGTGTGAAATACGGAGTTAGGAATAGACGTCTGTGTTTACCCCCAGATACATGGCAGTCTGGTTTGGGGAAAATAACCTGTGATACGGTTCTATTCTGGGTAATTAGACTTCTGGCTTTTTGATGGGGGATAAAAGTAAAATCCGTTAGAGTCATGTGCATTGATACATCAGTATTTAATTATTTTCTTCAGTCTTCCTTGATAACAATTAGAGAACATCATGATACATCATTTCAAACCTGTCCATTTTTATAGAACAACTTAGATAACCTGTCTTCCTCCTCTCCCTGCTCCCCATCCCCCGTAAAGCGAGGGTCAGACAGATTGAGAAGATAGGAATCCGTTTCTGAATCTAAGAACCCTTCTTGGCTGCAGCCTGATCTTAATATCCTTTTTAGCAGCATCTAAAAGAATCGAGAGGATGTGACTTGCTTAATGACATGCGAGTGTTGTGCAGTTTCTACCCACTCTGTGTAGTAGTATTGACGTGCTTTCAGAGGCTAGCTTTGCTTTCTCCCCAACAGTCACTGCTGCACACGGCTTTCCAAAGTGAGCAGGTACAGAAAGAGACCTCCTAAAGGCGGGTTTATGTGTGTGTGTGTGCATGTGTGTGTGTAGTATGTGTGTGTTTGCTTATTTTACAAAAAGAAACCCAGAATATTCCAGAAATTAATAAATTGTTATCTGTAGGAAGTGGATAGAAAGATGGTGGGTATGGGGATATGAATGAACTTCTCTGATTATACCTTTTTTATATAGGTGTAACTTTTGAACCACTTAATTATATATATTCAAAAATACAATGAATACAATGAATCCTAAAATTGAATACAAGAAACAGTTGAACCTAACTGTATAACAAATTTGTACCATAACCACACACACACACACACACACACACACACACACACGCACGCAAATAGTTCAAGTAATTTTTATTTTTTTTCTTAGGAAACTTTTGTGCTTTTGCTTTGGTCCAGTTGTGCTGACTTCCCCTATATTATGTGTTTTCCTTCCCTTCAAGTAACTTTTAAACACAGAACCCTGACTCTACACCTTTAGTGGCTTATATTCTAAGGACAAAAAGAACTGCAAAGGAATTTTGAACTTTACTGAAATAGTTGACAGTGGTGCTGGTAGTTCGATTGCGACTCAGAGCAGCGTAGAACTGCCTCATAGGGTTTCCAAGGCGTAAATCTTTACAGAAGCAGACTGCCACATCTTTGTCCTGCGGAGCAGCTGGTGGGTTCCAACCGCCGACTATTTGGTTAACAGCTGAATGCTTTAACCACTGCACCACTAGGGCTCCTACGCAAGGATCATTAGTGGATGCTAAGTCATTGGGCAGAAGGACGTTCGGGCCTAGGAAATTGTCTGGCAGTATCTCCCCTACATGTGACTAATTATAACGGGGGAAAAGTGTCTTGATAAGAGAGCACACTGGTGAATTCCACCTTAACTGGATGATCAATTTAGTGATACCTGTGAGGAGACCATCTAAGGTGTCCCTTCTGATGCGATGCAGTGGAGAAGTACATGATATCCCCTGTGCAGTGTTCTTGTGAGAAACGTCTAACCTGAATCTAATCCTCAGATATATGCATTGTTCCCTGCTGACAGCTCTGTAAACTGTCTGTAGCAGTATTAAACTACATTTAAAAATAAAAACAAACCTTTTTGTCCTAGAACCTGTGTGGTGCCCATACCTCCTTGTTCCCAGGGCCTCCCTGGCCTTAAAAGCCTTCTTACTACACCAGCCTTGGAACGGTCAGTGTACTTTGGACATTTCTCAAGTGTAAGTAGTTTCCGTTTTCGTTTTCCTGCCTTAATCTCCGTGGGGTTGAAGGACACCCAGGAAAATCAGCCATGGCCTGTACTGCAGGGCTTAAAAGTAATGGAGCTAAGCCTCAAAACCAGGTTAAGGCAGAGAAGGCAGACAGACTCCTTCCCGTCTGTGTCTGGGGTCTTTCGGCAGCGTGGGTGTGTGAGGGGGCTGTGAAGACATAAGCTGCTGTCGGTGGTTGTGTGGTCATCGTAGGTCTGAACTGGAGCATGTCACCATTAGGAAAAGGATGAGTCTGGATATGGCTGATGTAGGCCAAGGAGATACTGGGGGCCAGGACTAATTCTTTTTAAAAGTGACGTCAGTAGGCTGCTTTAGAGGTTTATTACATTTTTACAAAGCTCAGTGTCTGCCTTATTGCAAAAAACTGTTCACAGAAACTATAATTAGTGGGTATTAATTAAATCCACAAATGTGTACTGAGTATGTGTAGTGCACAGGTAGGCATGGGATAGGGAAATTGAAAACAATAATACGGTAAGGTCTGTATTCTCCAGGAATGATCTTCTTAGAATTCTGCAGAGGAGAATGAACAAATTTCTTTAGTCATTGCTAAGTTTCTCATTTTGTTGTTGTTGGGTGCCATCAAATTGATTCCAGCTCACAGCAACCCAGTGTGACAGAGAACTGCCCCATAGGATTTTCTGGGCTGTAATCTTTATGTGAGCAGATCACCAGGTCCCTTCTCCCGTGGAGCAGCTGGGTGGGTTCAAATTGCCAACTTTTCGGTTAGCAGCCTTATGCTTAACCGTTGCACCAACAGGGCTCCTAAGTTCCTGTTTAAATGAATCTAAATCTGATAGTTTTCAGAGCTGGCTAATAAATTTTCTGGTTTCTTGAAAACCAAAGTCTTTTTTTACTCATCGCTTTGTCTTGACTCAGTAAGATAAGAGCAGACGTGAAAGATGATTGGTGGATCCCCGAGTAGACTGTTGCTATTTGGGTCTATATCAGGCTTTTAAGCAAGGACTCCAGAAAGCTGTTTTCTATGTCAACATGGGCCACAACTTTTTTCTGGTGAAGGAATAAATGGTTTTAAGTAAGGAGATAATGAACTCATTCAAAATTTTTTCTGTGCAGTGATTATCCAGAAAATGAAGAAATAAAGAATCTCCTTCAAGAGCAGTTGAATTCATTGTCAAAGTAAGTACTCTAAGCATGCCTTATTAGAAGATAGCAATCTAAGAAAGAAAAGTACAATAATATAGGTGTTTTAAAATTAAAGTGAGTTGTGTTTTGGAAAATGTTTGTGGCCCAAGGAGACAGCATTTTGTTGATAGAGGTTTGTTTTCCTTAAGAATTTTTGAAAATGTTCTTATTTAATATTACAGCGACAGAGCATCTGACTTCAGCGAGTTAACAAGGATCAGATTGCTCTGGTCTGGATTCAGGGAGAGCTAAAAGCTTCGGGCGGGCCTTCGCACACGTCCCTGCCGAGCTGCACGGCAGAGGACAGACCCGGGTGATTCTCGTGTGTCAGCTGTCCTCTCCTCGAATGAGTTTTCTGTTGTCAGGTGCTGTGTATGCACAATTCTAGCTAAGAAATTAATATGTTCCCTAGAGCCTGGACAATTTTCAAACTACGTATTAGGAATAATACTGCAAAGGAAGTAGAAGAATATGGGTCTGCAGGGAGTGCTTGGTGAAACGTAACAAATTTTTAAATCTAGAATCTGTCACCCACAATTCATATATTTAATAAATTAACCATAATAGAGTGTTTTAATGATCACATATTCAAAATAATTACATTATTGTATTCTCCATCCAAAGATTAACATTTATGTTTAAATGAAAAACTATAAAGACTGCCTTCCTGAACGTTGTACACTTAACTGTTTTCAAAACACCCAATTCGTAAAAACAGTAGCCTTCGAATAGTTTGAAAAATAAATTCTGAGTACTGTCTTCTCTGAAGTATATACTGTTCCTGATGACTAGCAAAATAATTTTGTATAGTTAGGTAACTGTTCAGATTTTCAAAATATGAGTTGAACTGTTATAAGAGTGTAAGGCAAAATCAGCACCTGCAGGTCCCCTGTGGTGGATGAGAGATGCTACATCCCCAAGCATGAAATACTCGAAGCCCTATTACGCTTGTATAATTCCAGGGTCAAGTAACTTTCGTTAGGTACAGTTGTATCCTTTGAGTGTAATTTTCCTATTCCAGAGTATATTGATGTATCTCCTTGTATTATTATTTGATTAAAATGGTCACCTTACCATTGTTTGGATTCCTGTCTGCAGTGACATAAAGAAACTCTTGCTTGATCCAGAATTCACCCTCTTGCAGAGGTGCCTGCTTGTTTCAAGGTAACACTGATAGAAGCTTCTCTGCCAGATACAGAGAATTTCAAATTTGATCATTTCTCTTATTAGGGGTTTTAGTTATCCGTTCACCCTTTAGATTTGACTTACAATTCATTTTGCAACTAGTAATAAAAACAGGAAAACAGATTATGAAGGTGACATCTAGGACTTAAGGCTATCTTTATTGAAAGGGCCTCCTCCTGCTTTTTTAAAAGTGTGTTTCAAAATATCAGCCACAAAGGGCATGTATTTAAGTATACTCATAAATTCCATTTAAAAGCAATAACCTGTGCTGTCCCACTGTAAAGTTGTCACTTGTAAAAAGACCTCCCCCTCCATTCCTCAGAGAATAGATGGCAACGTATTTTCTCATCCTGTCTAGCCAGTCACCCCAGAGGAACTGTTTCCTAATGTGAAAGGTATGCTAGTGGCAAGCCAGGTGAATAATTGCCCAGGCTTCAGTGTTGCTCTTAACACAAATGAGTCGATCGTCACAGAGACAGTTTGAGACTTGTTAAGACTTGTCGTAATCAGACTTTAACGGTATTGAATGCACGTAGCACAGAGCAGGGAGACTTCTGGGTCTGAAGGGGCCCTGTGCAGTCAGGCCCCTGTGTTGTTGGAGACCCAGTAGCAGGGCTGAGAGCCTGCTGCTTCACCCCTGCCAGGCACCAAGTCAGCATCCCAGGCGGTCTTTCAAGAGGCAGCACTATGTCCCTAGTCCTTCAGGCTACTCTAGAAAGCCCCGTCCAGACCAGCGTGTGGTACGTGAGCTCCATTGTAACCGACGACATCCTTCTCAGGCTTTACGGTGATGAGTCGGAGCTACACTTCTGGACGGTGGCTGCCCACTACCTGCACAGCTTCTCCCAGGACAAGTCAGCCGCTCCTCGGGAAACTGTGAACAACCCCCTGGACATATGTTACGACATACTCTGTGAAAACGCCTATTTTCAGGTATTACGCTTTATGTATTAAAACCTTTAAAGCTACCATCTTGATTACTTACAGCTTTGTAACTGTCATAAATTTGGGAAGCTTCGACTAAGTTAAGGTCCATGTAGTAGAAATAAGTCTGTCTGCACGTTAGCATTAAAAAGGTCTGACTCAGAACTTGAAAAGCTCATAAACAAATATTCCATTCACTTGGTTTGAATTTACTATTCTGAATTTATAAAGGTAGCTTCATTAATTTTTTTAACCTTCAGTAGAGTACTCTTGATGGTGTAGTGGTTAAGCACCTAGTTTCTAACCATAAGGTCAGTGGTTCGAACCCACCAGTTGCTCCGTGGGAAAGATGAGGCAGTCTGCTTGAGTAAAGATTTACAGCCTTGGAAGCCCTATGGGGCAGTTCTACCCTGTCCTGTAGGGTTGCTGTGAGTCGGGATCGATGGCAGTGGGTTTGGTTTGGTTTTTAGAGTACTTCAATCCATAGGGGTTTTTGTTTTTATCTAGTTCTATTTGAGTACCAGTTTTTATAAGCAGGCAAACATGTACATAAACAATACTACATTCCAACTTTTTACCGTTTCAATTTCTTGCTCAGTTGGGTTTCTGTAGCACTGATTCTCTAGCAAGTTCAGAAGTCAAAGTAATATTTATTAAAATGACTTTTTTAAGTAAATTAAATAATTCAAAATCTTGTAATCCAGACTCAGTCTTCTTTTGTTTCTCTTTTTTTCTTTCTAGAAATTTCAGCTGGAAAGGGTTAATCTACAGGAAGTAAAACGGTCAACTTACGATCACACAAGGAAATGCACAGACCAGCTCCTCCTCTTGGGTCAGGTACAGCAGATTTGAGAACACTCTTCATATTTGGTGGAGTTGCTAGTCGATTAGTGTTTCAGAGCACCACACATACACAGCACAGCATTCTCCCCTTTAGTGAGTCTCCTTCTCTGAAAGTGTAAGTGTAAATTTAGACTTTCTCTCCAAATACTACTGACAAGTCTGTAAGAAAGCAAAAGCGTCTGGTTAATCGGCTTGTATTTTTGGCTTTCACAATGTCAGATGAAGCCTTGCTATTTGTTTTGCTTTGTTTTGTCTCTCAATTGACTGGTACAAAGCCAAAATGAGCAGTCCCTTGAGCACCTGTCTGAGCCAGACTGTGGTTTCACGTCCGTCTCAAAGCAGCAGGTGGTCCTTTTGTTCCGTTTTTTGTACCTGTACACAAAGTGTTCAAGAGCAGTTCTTGACAATGAAGTCTTCCTTCAGGTATAAATGTCAGTATTCCATATTATGAATTAAAAAGAGTTACGTTGAGGGAAAATCTTCTCATAATCAGAGAAACCGTTTCCCTTATTAGACGGACAGAGCCGTGCAGCTGCTGCTGGAGACAAGCGCAGACAACCAGCACTATTACTGTGATTCCCTGAAAGCCTGTTTGGTCACAACCGTCACCTCGTCAGGCCCTTCTCAGAGCACCATTAAGCTGGTGGCAACTAACATGATTGCCAACGGCAAGTTGGCAGGTAAGGCCTGTTTTGTGGGTATATTTGTCAGTACTATGGAAAATCAGACTCGTTCCCAGGAAAGAATTTCATGCAAGTGATTGTCGGGGACGTTTTTTCTTTTTTATGTGTGCTCAAGAAAAATCGAAGTTATTGCTAGCTATTGACCGTATAATGTAATCATCCAGACCTGTTTTTAAGAGTGAAGGGGCACTTCTAATAATTATGCCAGGACAGTAGGCGTAAATCAGACTATCCTCAGCAAACCAGAATGATGAAAACCAGCGAGTGAGATGTGCTTTATCTTTAATTTCCTGGGCTGTATCTGTGCTTCCGACACAGATTACTTGAGTGGTAACATCGCAGAGCTCAGTTTTGATATTTGAGTCAGGAGTATATCCAGCAGGTGTGACTTAGACAGGGCAGGGCCAGGTCGTGGTGAATTGGTTTTTGGTGACATGGCAAGGAGGCGAGCTGCTTGTCACCAGGGCTGCTGTCTTTTCTCCAGAGGGCGTGCAGTTGCTCTGCCTGATCGACAAAGCTGCAGACGCTTGCCGCTACCTGCAGACCTATGGCGAGTGGAACCGGGCAGCCTGGCTCGCAAAAGTAGGTCACGTCCAAGGGCCTTGAGCGTTTGGGATGAAGGTTCAGTCTTGACTTTTGGTTCTTGAGTTGGAAGTGTTTTCTGGCCTGCAAATGCTTTGCAGATATCTTCTTGCAACTCTCATCCTCCTCCTATTCTTTATGAGCATAAATTACATTTCTGCTTATTGAAACATGGTGGTTGCATTGGTGGCGATGAGGTGAAAGCAGGTGCCTCCTCTCCAAGCTGTGGCACGAGCTAGGAGGTGTTTGTCAGTCCCCGCATCCCCCAGGCCCAGGTCAGAGTCACTGCTGTTCACATTGAGCAGGAGGGCAGGACCTAGTGTTTGTTCCAGAGGAACCTTCCCAGTTTGTTGGAAGTGTTTTTTTTTTTTTTTCCTTTACGTCATGCAGGATGTTTTTCTTTTTAATGTGGGCTTCTTTCTCAGGTTCGTTTGAACTCTGAAGAGTGTGCTGATGTCTTGAAGCGGTGGGTTGATCATCTGTGCTCTCCACAAGTCAATCAGAAGTCAAAGGCCCTCCTGGTCCTTCTCTCCCTGGGCTGTTTCTCCAGCGTGGCCGAGACGCTGCACAGGTACACCCCAGAGTGCCCCGTGGGCCGCTGAGGACTGCTGGGACTCATCACTTGACGCCCACTTCAGGCTCTTCAGGTGGATGGCGGCACTCGGGTGGAGAAAGTGCTCTTCAGGTTTATTTAAAAGCCTGAAGGAGGAGGCCCATCCGTGCTTATTCAGCCTTCATTTGGTCTGGGAGCTGGGGTATTTTCCTGCTGATATACTCATTAAACTGAACAGGTGCCTATTCAAAAAGGATTTTAAAAAAGTCTTCAGGGAGTTAGGGCAATTCAGCTTCCAGTAGAGCAACTAGGAGGAACCCCGGAGAGCAGTAGGAAGGTGACAGAACAGCTGGTGAGGTAGAGATGTCCCCCTCTGAAAGTCTCAAAGAGCAGTACCTTCACGTTATTAGGGGACATTCTGTTTATTTAAAACTAAGGGAGGAGGTTGAGGCAAATGTGGCAACACAGCAGTTGTTCATGTGTATCCCATCTCTGTAGATGTCTGTGTATTTAGATTATTTTATATATGTTTTTAAGTATAAAAAAATTCTTGGGGAAAAAAATCTTGGGGTTGGCAGAGAAGAAGATGAACACAGGCATTTTCCCCTTTCCCTAGTAAACGCCTTTGGAGGCGCGAGTAACTGACGTAACACTCGGGTTTCCCGGGGACGTGTGTATGGGTCTTTCTGTAGAAATACGATGTGAATACTAAAGCCTAACCTTGTTTTGGTCTGTTTGCCAGCATGAGGTACTTTGATAGAGCTGCCTTGTTTGTGGAAGCCTGTCTGAAGTATGGCACAATGGAAGTCAATGAAGAGACAGATATCCTTTGCAAGGGTGTTTATGCTGAGGAAGAAGAAGGGGCTGTGATGAGCTTTAGGATTCCTCTCTCTTGTGCTGCCTAGGCAGGAAGCATCGTACACTGAGGAGGATCCATACTCTGATTCACCAAAGCCAGGAGAAAGGGAGAAATGAGAGGGGAAAGAACGGGAAGAAGGCCACTGCCACACTGGCATTTGCAGGAAGGAAATGTAAAGGGTAAGGATCCACGGTTTTGTAATATGGGCTTGAACTTCAAACAGAGATAGAGGAAATAGTGTAGGGGAAGTGTAGAGGGCCACTTCTTTGAAAAGTACTATTTTGAAGGAATTCATTCTGTGGCATAAAGTTTTATGTATTTCTCTGGAAAATATACACTGGCATAAATAAAAAAGAAAGGCTTTCCCTGTCACCCATAGTGAGGAATCTGATATGGAACAAAATGCAGCACCTCCAGGACATGTCACACAGGCAGGTCACTGTGGTCCCCCTGCAGCCAGGAGCACTTTAGTTCTTCTTCCAGTCACTGGAGTCACGTTTTTCTTTGGAAAGAATGGGCTTGAGAATACAGCTCCCAGTTCCTTGTGTTTGCGTGTTGTTGTTGTTAGGTGCCGTCAAGTTGGTTCTGACTCATAGCGACCCCGGGCACAACAGAACGAAGCACCGCCCTAAGGATGGTGAGGATGGCACAGGAGCGGGCACTGTTTTCTATGTGCAGATAGTCGTTCTTTCTCACTGCATCTTTCTCTTGTAGTCTTCCATGGTAGCCTCATTTTTACAGGCCAGCTGTTTGCTTTTTTTCTGCATTGTTTACAGAACACTAGACTGAAACCTAAACTTTTACCCTAGATCTTATAGCTAGTCGCTGGTAAAGCTGACTGGTAAAGTAGCCATTTCAGATACCAGAACACAAAAGAACAGGGCTGTCTGGAAACTCAACCCGATATTTAGGGCAGACCCTGGTTAGTAGAACCTCTGGTGGAAGCTCTGTCTACTCAGAGACGGCCGGCCTCCCTGACTCAGGTTTCTCTTCCGTGCTGCCATCTTACTTTTTCTAGCCTTTAGTGGGGTGTAGGTCATGGGAGAAGCTAGAGGGTCTCTGTGGGGTCTTCTCCTTGAAGAAGGAGCTCTGGGCTCAGCTGGGTATGAGGTCCACTGATGGTACTATTGAGAGGGCACCTCCCTGGTGAGGAGGCCCCTGCACTCAGCAGGGCCACCCTCCAGGGACTTCCACTCTCGGCCCTGCTCAGGGGCCTGGCAGAGCTGGCTCCTCTTTCCTGTGAGGAGCACGATCGCAGCCCGTTTTGCCCTGCTGTTCCTTAACTGCGGTTTACAGAAACTCATCTTTGCTGTATATGCAGATTATGCCCGGAGTCTGAAGAACCTGGGTTTTAAACAGGGAGCTGTTCTTTTTGCTTCAAAAGCTGAAGCAGCTGGCAAAGATTTATTGAATGAGCTTGAATGCCCCAAGGAAGAACGCATGGATGAGTGACGGGCTGCTATATGCCAGGAGCGCCTTACCTTGGAAGCAGGGTGGGCAGTGGTTGGTCTGGCTGTGGTCCCAGTCTGATGGAGGAGGCCGAGGCCATCCCTTCGAGCACCTTCTCTGGCAGGGCCTGGCCAGCTACTTGTCCACCATGTCCCTAAGGCCATCTGTGCACAGTAGTACATGAGCATTTACAGCATTAGAATGAGCATTTACAGCATTAGAAGCAAGTCCTACATCCTCTATTTACTGCAGAGAAAAACGTGAACGCTTCAGATTTGGAAGATGTGTAACGTTTTATACATTTTAGAAGGAGAGCTTTGAGTCCTTGGAAATACTTTTAATTTTTTTAAATTAAAATTCAAGAGACTGAATTGCTTTTCTCATTGGTAAATTTAAAGATGTTTGAAAAATCCTTAGTGAAATAAGCTCGTGAGAGCTGTCGTCAGGTTGGCGCAGATACAGGCAGGGCAGAAGTGCTTAGGAAATGGTTGGCCCGAGCGTTCTGTTTCCTGACCTTGGAGACAGCACTGTTGATACCGTGGGGAAGGCTCATGGGCTCAAAGAGAGTTTTTAAGCTTTGTTTGGTTCCAGGATGTGGGGTCTTTGATATTTTGGATTTTAACCCCTTCTGCGACGTGTTACAGTAACCTCATTTTCGAAGTCTCTCTTTGTGCTTTAATTTCTTGTCTAGGTTCTCCCAGTAGCTGAAATACATGTGATGTGACTATTATAAATTATTGCTAAGAATTTAAATGTATAGAACTTACAGAGATGACGAATAAAAAGATTCCATCCGGGCCTTTGTGTTCTCTGTGTTGCTGTGTGTGTGAGTAGTCAGTCCACCTGCCCCTGCTCCAGGCTGTGCCTGCTGTATCCAGAGAAGCCGAGCTGTAGCAATTCAGGCACAGGGCAGCAGGACTCAATACCAGGGAACGCTGGTCCCACAAGATACGCCTCAGAAAACAAATAGGTGACCAGCCAAATGAGTCGGGTACACAAGGCATTCTACAGCGTCCTCTGGAGATTGACAATGCACATTATTAACACATTAAAGGCTCTGAGAAGTCCTACAATGAGGAAACCTACTTAACTGTTTCAACCAACATTAACCAAACACATTTGACCAGGAATGCCCTTTTCCCTCCATTACCTTTACTTCCTTCCTTCCTTCTGTCCTTTTTTCCCTCCCTCTCTCCTTCCTCCTCCTTTCTTTCTTCTTCCCTTTCATGCTGCCTGTTAAAATCCCACAGGGTACATGCTGAGTGCTTTGGAGTGGGCACAGCTGACAGACTCACAGGGACTTGCTGGGATAGGATGCTATTCTAAGCAGGGGACAGAGCAATGATGCCACACTCCCCAGAGGATTTCTGGAGCACCCTGCATCATAGGACTGGGGTGACCAAGGGTCTTAGCCTCACAGGGTGTCAGTACCTGAACCGCAGAGGTGGCTTCTTTCCAGAACACAGCTGCAGGGCCCTTGTTGAACCTGACCTGGGTGATGCGAAAGGACTTAAGGTTTCCCCAGAGAGAAGCTAAATCCTCTGTCTATGCAAAGCTGGGCTTCAGATGGTCAAACCATTTTTTCCAGGCCCAGAAGTTTCATAGGGAAGAAAAAAACACTTAAACTCAACAACCAAACAAGACAAAGCAATCCCGAGAGCAGCCTTTGCAGGTTTCTGAATAATTCGTGCCCCACGGCTTTCCCTCTGTTCTGTTTCTTAGGCTCCCCAGGGTGGAAGGACTCAGCTGTGCTGTTTCTTCCAAGGGGTTGTCCTGCCTCTGCTCACACACTGGCCGTGGTGGGATGCTCACTACCCCCCAGGCTATCCCTTCTGTGACTCTCCGCCCCCCCTCGCCCACCAGGAAGTACTGTGTCAGTGACACGTCTCCTGAGGACTCTTCCCCCCC